AAGATTTTTGGAACCGCGAAAATTTTTTTGTTTGGGAGAAATTATAACAATTATTTTATAATGAAAAGCAGCAACGAGTTCGAAAAAATTTATGGATAATAGTTATGAATGTATAATTGAAATTAATATTTTACTTTCTTTATATATTATAATGACTAACGAGAACAAGCACAATGACAACATGGACCGTATGTATACTAATTAAGTCTATGTTTGAGCTTCATTTTCTAAAATTTTTTTTTTTCCTCAAATTCATTTTTAATCACACATTTTTCCAACAATTTTTTTCACACATCTTTTTTCCTACTTTTTAATCATACAATTTTTAAAAAAATTACTATTATAAAATCTATTTTTGTACAAAAGTGTGGCTCAAACAAGCCCTAAGAATTACTAACTTAAAAAGAAATGTTGGCCAATCCCAGCCACGATCATAGCATTTGGAACCATAGTCCGTTCTAGTTAGTGGTGGCAAATGGGCCAAGCAGCTTGGCTCGTGGGTGGCTTGGGCACTAGCCGAGCAAGCCGTACACGGCCCACGAGCCGAGCTTGTGGGCTCTTAAAAAATTTTAAGAAAAAAGTAAAAAAAAAATTTTTTTTTTTAAAAAGGAAAAAAACCACGAGCTCATGGGCTCGACTCGGCTCGTGCTCAAACGAGCTTGAGCTCGGCTAGTCAAGCTCGTGGGGTATGGACCGAGCTGACTTATCTTGGCCCATTGCCACCACTAGTTCTAGTATGACAATGTTCAATAACATTAACACATCACAGGTTGTAATCCATGTGATGGTCTGTGTCACTTTAGGATGGAGATAGATTGTCTAATCGTACATTTGGATTTTGAGCTCCTATTTGACAACTATTCTTTCAAAAAAAATAAAAATTCATACTCTTGTTCAACTACACATTCTCACAATAAAATATTTCAAACGTAAATCCAAAACTTTTTTCAGATTTTTAACCACACATTCTTTAAAAATTTATTATCCAAAAACTCATTCCATGAAAAAAAATGGTTGTCGAGCAGGGGCTAAGTTGTTACCATTGTGATTAAATGACATCACTAAATACCCAAGAAGATACAAGATGAAATCAGAAATTAAAGAACGTTCGAAAGACGATAACACAAAAAAGGGCGAATTCGATGACTTGCAAAATCTGGCCTAGACAAAGAAATATGAATGTTACCTTCTAATAATAAACTTATCGCATGGTACTTATCTCCTTCTACGAGTACAAGTGTCCGTTTGGTAGAAATTCTTTAATACTCATTTTTCACCAAATTTATATTTCATTGCAGATCCTTTTAGTAAAATAATTTTGCATGTGTATTTTTTCCTTCTTAACCATACTTTTTTTTTTTTTTTTTCCAAAAAAAATTACTTTTCGCGAAGAAAAATTTACATTAAACCGACTTTAAATGAGATTTACAGTAAACAAACAAGAGTTAATTTGGTAAAAAAAGAGTAGAGCTTGATAGAATCCGGGAACAGAATATCGCATAATTATAATTCAAAAAGAAGCATTGTAATTTACAATCTGGATCTATAATCATTTTTTAGTGACTAAAACATTTTACAAATCCATTATCACATCTATTCTGCATTTTGTCCCCCCCATGATTAAGACTGTGAACATGATAGATTCCATTAATCTCAGCATAATTAAGCAAAATTATTAGTTTTTTTAGATCCATAATGGAGGGTAGTTAAAGGTGATTGTCAAATTGCATTTGTCTATTGCAATCATACAGATTTGACTTATTTTTAAGGGTAAATAACACAAAATATTCTTACTTTTCATTTTTTTTGCGTTTTTATCCTTAATTACACATTCGATTGTGCAAAATGTCAATCGATGTAAACAGGAATCTCCACTTTTTACAAAATGGAAGGGTATTTTTATCTTATAACAAAAATTTCCCATTCTCCCTTGCAATTTTTTCCCACGAGCGGTTTTCTTTTTCTCTTGCTTGAACAATCTTCCTCGACTTCAACATTATTACCCTTCTCCTCCCCTTTCCTCTTCTCTCCTCCCCGCCGGTGAAAGCACACTATGAAGCGAAGGTAAATTGTTATTTCTAGGTTGGGTATTTTTGTTTTTCATTTCCTAAAATTTTCTTTTGAGTGATTGCATGTTTGTGAGAGCAAACTCAGCACCAGATGAGCCCCTCAGGCCGCCTATGCTGGATCTGCTGAAAACTTTTTTTTTTTTTTTGACAATAGATAAATTTTTTATCTTATATAATGTTATTTGATTTCATTTTCAAATGCCTCCTTTAATTGAGTTGGTTAGAGTTTGCGATTCTTATGAGATGTCTCTAGTTTGAATCCCTAGCTTACAATTCATATATTTTTAGTTCTCCAATTTTTACCATTTTACAATTTTTACCAAAATTAATGGCAATAGGGAGAGAGGAGTCGAACCCGTGACTATCTAAAAGATCATTGGAATCCTTACCGTTT